CACTCCTTGAAATTGCTATATGGTCCTAGGTACTGAATTCTAGATTTCAGCTTATTGGGCTTCATATTGTTTGTTTTTTTGGGCTTTAGGTTTGTTGCTTTCTGGTTGAGAATTTGTTCCTCATTTGCTAAAACACAAAAAATATGTATTACAAATCTATTATAAATTTATCATAAATGTGTGGATTTGTAGGGTTTAATTTTCATGTTTTGTAACTTGTTCTATTCATTTACAAATATTAATATCCATTCAGATTACCTCTCCATATTTGATTTGTAAGGTTATTTGAAATAATGTTGGTGAAGGAAAAAAATTGTGGACATTGACTAACTCGTTTTTAAATTTTCTTAGAAAGGTGGAGTAGAGACGTTCATTCATTTAGTGTGATTATGAATATGTCTGTGCACACTACAAAATTGTAATTCCTTTACCTATTTGATGAAAAATAAATCAAACAAAATAAAAAACAGCATATTATCAATAATGTTGAAATAAATTCATTTCTTACACCAAGAGTACTTGGTTTTATGAATGGATTTTGCCAGGCTATATGAGTGAGGGTTACTTTTGGTAAATTTATTTTGTATTATAGACTAAACAAATATACCACTGAAATCTGATGAATCCCTTAGGTAGTTTAGTTCCTTCTGTTTTCATTTTTTTTTCCCTCCTCAATTACAACAATATAACATTTTCCGAATACTATATAACTACAAATATATTGTATAATATTTTCCCAATTAGTGCTCTTTATGCAGCAAAGCTATCACATGTGGTAGCTCATGTCAGTTTTTTGATAAATTGTTGTTTGTCTGCTTTAATTTTCCCTATCCAATTTGTTTGTCTTCAATTCCATCCAAAGTGTCTTGTTAGTTCTTTTTATTTAATTGTAAATATATGGCATATTTATAATGCGAGTATCATGGCAAATAATATATTTTCCGTTTGTAGGGTGGCCTTTTGAATTTTGTCTTATGCGATTTAACTTCACTTTAGGCAATGATGTATTTGTGTGACCAATTCTTTTCAATAAGACCATTGCACCATCTTGTAAGAAGCTTGTTGAGGTTGAAATTGGTATTCAAATTGGAGTTTTATTTGAATTTTGCGATTTTTCATATTGAGTGGAGAATTATAAAAAAAAAAAAGAGCAATATAATGGTATACAGTACAACAATGTCACAAATCATTCATGAACCTAGTATTTTTAATACTGTTATTACTTTAAGTGCACATTTCTTCCTTAATCTCATTCTTGAATTTTCTTCGCTTTCACGTTTTTAATTTTTTCAATAACAGACTCAATTCTTTGTTTGTAATTTGTTGCTAAGTGTGTGCATGCACCTTTTTTCTTTTTCTCATCTATTATTTTCTGTATACCATCAGTTTGATCTTGGCTCTTGCAGATGCTTATTTTTGTTTCAATTTCTTACATTTCTATTTCTTGTGTAGTGGTGTACGGCCTTTTGGTCTTTCACTGTTAGTTGCTAGCTTTCATGACGAGGGTCCACAACTATATCAGGTATGTCATTTGGGTCCTCTTTGATATTGACCTTAATTGTGTTAGAGTTGCCTAGCTGATTCAGTCACTTTCATTTGGATGGATAACCAGCCCAACCTTCGAAGATTTTGGGATATCTCTTGTTCTAGTTAGATTATTTTTTAATGTGGGTTAGGATATCTCTAATCAAAGGCTACCTAATTTTTATTCTTCTTTCACATGTGCTGCTACCTAGAATTATTCTGTAGTCAAAGTTCATAAAACATAATAACTACATTATCTCAATTATTTTGATCCAAACACACATCTTTGTGAATTTCTTACATTTATTTTGCCTTTAGCCCAAAATTATTTCTAAAGAAAATGCAAATTTTGTCTTTGAATTAATTTGTGTTTTCATTTTTTAGGTCAAAAATTGATTAGAGAGATACAAAATATAGTCAAAGAATTCAAGGACTTTGTGCTTCAAGTTTTTTCATTTTTAATATAGTCAATCACAGTTAAATTTTTTTTTATTAATTCATTTGTATATACTTTTAAATATTCAACTTTTATTTATGAAATATATAACGTTATTCCATTCAATATGTGGTTGTAATTCAAAGGATAGTACATAGTATGTATTACATTCTTCAAATGCATACAAAAATAATATTAATTATTCTTCAAATATGCCGAACCCTTTTCTTATCACGCGCATTAACTGTGATGAAAAATGCATATAACGTGTAATCTTATCTCATTATTAATCACATGTTTTATTAAATATTATTCATGCTTAAAATATGTGATCTAAATTTTTATTATCATAGGTTTTATTAGTTATACATCACACATGAAAAGTGTGATCTAAATGTTTACTATCACACGTAAAAAATGTGATCTAAATATTTATTATCACACGCATAACGTGTGATGAAATTATCTTTTAATGATACTCAAAACGTGTGATTAAAAATGACCCTTTTTAATCACTCCCAAATATTATACTTTGACAAAACTTAATACATGTGATTAAATAACATACATTACACATAAAAATTATTATTGTAATTTCTGTAATGAAATCGAACATTCAATAATGAGTTGTGTACGAGCACGAAATAATTCTTCTCGTATGATCCTATTGATCAAGTTTGTACTCCTCCAAACAACGTTGCTTTGCCACCTGAAAAACACAAATGTGAGCTAATCGGCGGGTGTGTGCCGGTAACCCCTCCGATGCCTATGTCAGCAACTAGACAATAGATAATAAGCTCTGTGTATTCTAGAGTAAGAATTGGGATACCTGTACAAAGGTCTGGTCATGAACTTTTATAGACTTTACTTTGGCACAATCCTAGTAGGATTCCAACTCTTCATATGAGAGTCCTCCTAGGAATCACACACCCTAGTCGCTACCAACCAAGTGAGATGGTTTTGCACAATCCTAGTAGGACTCTACTCTCCTTAGTAGAGTTCTCCTATGAGTCATACTCCTACTTACTACCAACCAAGTGAGATGGTTTGCACAATCACAGTAGGACTCTAACTCTCCTTAGCAAAGTCCTACTAGGAGTCTCATTATTGCAAGCCAAGGGAGATGGTTGAACCCTTTACCTCGGTTATACATTTCTGACCGAACTGCCTTATCTCAATCCCCTACCATTCGGACCATGTGATCGAAAGCCAATCTATCGAATGCCAATCTGCCAAGCTATACACAGCTCGGCTCTCGCCATTGATGTTACCTATTACCTCGGCTGACATTGCGGTCAACCAGGTTATTTCGGCTCGGTGATACTTTAAGCACCACTGTCAGTCTTGACTCTGAGATGACGCCCTCTGTGTATTCTAGAGTAAGAATTGAGATACCTGTCCATAGGTCTGGTCATGAGCTTTTATAGACTTTACTTTGGCACAATCCTAGTAGGATTCCAACTCTTCATATGAGAGTCCTCCTAGGAATCACACACCCTAGTCGCTACCAACCAAGTGAGATGGTTTTGCACAATCCTAGTAGGACTCTACTCTCCTTAGTAGAGTTCTCCTAGGAGTCATACTCCTACTTACTACCAACCAAGTGAGATGGTTTGCACAATCACAGTAGGACTCTAACTCTCCTTAGCAAACTCCTACTAGGAGTCTCATTATTGCAAGCCAAGTGAGATGGTTGAACCCTTTACCTCGGTTATACATTTCTAACCGAACTGCCTTATCTCAGTCCCCTACCATTCGGACCATGTGATCGAAAGCCAATCTATCGAATGCCACCCTGCCAAGCTATACACAGCTCGACTCTCGCCATTGATGTTACCTCCATTACCTCGGCTGACATTGCGGTCAACCAGGTTATTTCGGCTCGGTGATACTTTAAGCACCACTATCAGTCTTGACTCTGAGATGGCGCCCTACAGAGCTATCCTCTAGCTCGGTTCTCCCCCCACTGATACCTCGGTTGTCTGTTTAGGCTGAGCTAACTGCAGCAGTCTCCGACCGAACTAACAAGGACGAGGTCCAACTTGCGAAGCCCAAACACCTCGGCCCACAGTTCAGCCCAAATCTGTAATATGAGATGTCTTCTTGGCCTAAGACCGAGCTACACCAGCCCTTGTCTCGGCCCATTGCGCGGCCCAACTTCCAAAGAAGACTTTCCTAGCTCGGCCCAATTTGCTTACAAATTACCTTCTCAAGTTGCTATTCCTTTTTACCAAAAATTGTGTATAAAAAGTAAACAACCTAGCAGAAGTTTTTAAAAGACGATGTGGCAAATTTTTAAACTTACTTTTTAAATCCAATGATATAATAACATATTAGATTTAGAATATCTAAGATAACTATATCTTATATATTCTCTAATCATCTATCAACAATATCACTTACATATTATTGAGTTTAGAAAGTGGGCTTTCATATCATTTTACCTTTTTAAATTTTGTTGCTAAATATCTTTTTTGATTTTTTTTTAATTTTTTCGGATGGCCTTTTCGTCATGACTCACTTGACGATTGAAATTGGTCTCTTGATATTTTTATATCAAAATTTTTATTTTTAGAGACCGAAAGAATTTGATCTTGAAAACCATGTTGTAATAATGTTTGTACAATAGAAATTTTCCAGGAAATGACTAAATTATTCTAAATAAATTACTAATTTTTCTTCTAACTTCATGTATGGGTATGAACCCTAGGCTACATCCATATAAAATTATACTCATGTGTAATTGATTAAAAAATAATAATAATAATAATTTAACAAGAAATTCTATCATTTTTTAGGAATAATTGGTGCTTCTCTGTTCATGTTAGAGGTTCAAATACTTGACTTGGTAACTTAGAAATTCCATGTGGCTATTTGTTATATTTTAATTTATTTTTTGAGTTTGGATGCGGCGAAAGTGAAAAGAGAATGGCGTTGCATAGAGCATGGTCTAAGTCGTCTAACCCAAGGCAGGCACGCAGGCAGGAGCCTCCTCATTCTCCTACAAATACACATATACCATCATCCCATCTTTTAAATTTTAAACAATCTCAATTCATTTTCACATTCTCTCTCTCTCTCTCTCTCTCTCTCTCTCTCTCTCTCTCTCTCTCCAACAAAATCAAATTGATGTAGAACAAGTAGGCGAAAACTTCTTGGAACAATTGGACCCGACAAAAGGCAAGAAAAAAGATGTAGAACAAAATTCTATAATTTTTATATTTCTTAATTTTATTATTTAGAATTAGGTTTTTGACTGGATTTTAAATAGCTTAGAATTTTTAGTCTCTTAAGTTTCTTAGTTCTCTTAGGTTTCTTAATTTGTGTTGATTTAAGTTTCCTAGTTTATTTTGGAATCACTTTTCCTAGAAGTATTAGGTATAGTCTATTATAAATAAGCCTACAAGCATATGTAATTTTCATTCATTCAATAATATTTTTAAGAGCTTTCTTCTATCTTCCTTGTGGATTCAAGGTTGTTCTTGTGGATTCAAGAATTCTCATCTACTAGAACGATATCTAGTCTCGCGTGATTTATTCCGCTGCGTCAAGTGGTATCAGAGCGAGAATTCACCTGGCTAAATGGCACAAGACAGAGTAGATCAAGCAAACCCTATTGGCGGTGATCGTGGGATCGAGGCCCTGTGGGTAGCATATGAGAAACAGCAAGAGCAGTTGAACGAAATTCGTGATCTGCTTATTGGCCTGAATCTCAATGCCAACAATAGGCCACCAGTGGTTGATAGGGTTCGTGCTGAGGGAGTTGCCCAAGGCCAACCTATTAACCAGAATAGAGTGCGCTCCGAAGGATTTGCCCGAGGTTAACCTGTTCAGAATGCTCCCAGACGTCCCCTTCGTTGTCCATCTGATAGTGAGGAGGAGTCTGAGCCAGAGTTTGAACCACTCCCAGCCAACTATCAACCCCGAAGACAACAACAACAAGGGTTCGATGAGTACCAAATGAAGATAGATCTTCCCCAGTTCAATGGAAATCTATATATTGAGGATTTTCTTGACTGGCTTTCAGAGGTGGAGCGATTTTTTGAGATGATGGATGTTCCAGAATCAAAGATGGTGAAATTGGTAGTGTACAAACTAAAAGGAGGTGCTGCGGTATGGTGGGATCAATTGTAGAAAAATAGGCATCGACAAGGAACAGAATCTGTACGGACTTGGCGTCGGATGAAACAACTCCTCCAAGATAGATTTTTACCACCAGATTATGATCAACACTTGTTTCAGTTGTACCAAAATTGCAACCAAGGAAGCCGATCTGTATTTGATTACACAATTGAATTTTGCCGACTTTCACATCGCAATAATCTGAATGAGACCGAAGGACAGCGTGTAGCCCGGTATCTCAATGGGTTAAAATTAACCATTCGGGAGAAGATGGGGCTATCAGTAGTGTGGACTGTGGATGAAGCACATAATATGGCTCTCAAAGCCGAGCTAATAGAGCGCAAGACAACCTATTCTAGATATTGTCGGAACCTTCCTGATTCATCGTTTCCCACTAGGGAAAAAGGAAAAAGGGCTGCCCAACCAATAGTTCCAGTAAATCAGCAAAGGGGTACCGCTGGTGGAGGAGGAAACCAGATGACTGGATCAAGTAGTAGAGAGGCATCTCGAAACACAAATCCTTATGCCAAACCAACAGCGGATAAGTGTTATAGATGTGGTACGCCTGGCCATCGCTCTAATGTCTGCCCAGAAAGAAGGACTGCTAATTTAGTTGAAGAAGAGGATGAAATTGGAGATAATGGAGATGCAGAATATGAGGGTGATCAGTATGAAGGTGCTGAAATCGCTAGAGAAGAAGGAGAACGAGTCAACTGTGTAGTTCAAAGGGTTCTATTTACACCAAAAGTTGAGGACCTCAGTCAACGTCACAGTATTTTTCGCTCTTGTTGTACCATAAACCAAAAGGTGTGTGACCTTATTGTGGATAGTGGAAGTTGTGAAAATTTTGTGGCTAAACGATTGGTAACACACCTGAACTTGTCTCCTGAACCACACCCCTCTCCCTACAGTATTGGCTGGATCAAAAAAAGACCTGCTGCAAGATAACTGAAGTATGTAAGGTACCTATTTCTGTTGGTAAACATTATAAATCTGATGTATTATGTGATGTGGTTGATATGGATGCTAGTCATGTATTACTTGGAAGACCTTGGCAATTTGATGTGGATATTACATTTAGAGGGCGAGACAACACTTATGTGCTTAATTGGGGGTCTCGTAAAATTGCTATGAGTCCCTTAAAGCAACACACAGTGCCTTCGAAAGTCAAAGCGAAGTCTTTCCTCACTACAACCAATTCAGAGGCCGAGTTTGTGGCAGATGCGAAAACTTCACAAGAGTTATATGCTATGGTTGTGAAAACAATGGTACCTATGGCCAAGGAGAACACAGTCACACCAATCCCTCAGAAAATTCAACCATTATTGGAGGAATTCCAAGAGCTTACTGCTGACGAGTTGCCAAATGAACTTCCACCCATGAGGGACATTCAACAGCAGATTGATTTCATACCAGGAGCAAGTCTGCCAAACCTACCACACTATAGAATGAGTCCAAAAGAGAGTGAGATCCTACGGGAGAAAGTTGAAGAATTGCTGCGAAAGGGACTTATTCGTGAAAGCCTAAGTCCATGTGCTGTTCCGGCATTATTAACGCCAAAGAAAGATGGAAGTTGGCGAATGTGTGTAGACAGCCGACCCATCGACAAGATTACCATCAAGTATAGATTTCCCATTCCCAGACTAGATGATATGTTGGATATGCTGGAAGGATCAAAGTGGTTTTCAAAGATCGATCTGAGAAGTGGGTACCATCAAATTCGAATCCGTCTTGGAGATGAATGGAAAACAACATTCAAGACTAAGGATGGTTTGTATGAATGGTTGGTTATGCCATTCGGCCTTTCTAGATTATTTAAATGTGGGATAATATTGTTTTATTAGTGAAATTTTTTGCTATCTAACTAATTGGAAAGGCCGCATTAATAATAAAACAAAATATTTCAAAATCAGTGAATGATTACTCGGAATTAATATTGTATCCTCACAATATTGATTGGTTCAAATAATGACATGTGATACATAACCAACCAAACCAAACCCATCTTTGTTGACATGTCTCAAGTATATCGCGAGAGACCTGCTCAAGCAGGAGATGGCCCCTTACCAAATGATAGATATTATCCTGTTCTATTATATAACCCACTTAACTATAATAATTATATAGTTTTGTCATATTTAACTCTTCTATTAAATAACTGTTAATACTCGTGTTGTTAACTACTTCAATAAATAATTATTAATCGTTTTCAAGTTTGGCTACGTTTTATAGGTGTTTCATTCGAAGTTTCAGCACTATTATGGCACCAATAACAGAGTGCATGAAGAAAGGAAAATTCCTGTGGGATGATGATGCAGAAGAGAGCTTCTTGCTGATCAAAGAGAAGTTGTGCACTGCACCAGTACTAGCTTTGCCCAGTTTTGAGAAGATTTTTGAGATAGAGTGTGATGCTAGTGGTGTGGGCATTGGGGCTGTCCTATCTCAAGAACATAAACCAGTGGCTTTTTTCAGTGAAAAATTAAAGTGAAGCTCGGCAAAAGTGGAGCACTTACGACCAAGAATTTTATGCAGTGGTTCGAGCTTTGAAGCATTGGGAACATTACCTGATACAGAGAGAGTTTGTGTTGTATACTGATCATCAAGTCTTAAAGTTTATCAACAGCCAGAAGCACCTAGATAACATGCATATAAGATGGTCTACTTTCCTTCAGAAATTTCCTTTTACTATTCGCCACAAATCAGGGGTTTTGAATCGAGTTGCAGATGCCTTGAGTCGACGGGCTAGTTTATTAGTCACGTTAACACATGAGATTGTGGGTTTTGAGTTCCTGAAAGAACTTTATCCTGATGATGATGACTTCAAGGAGATATGGGCAAAGTGTATTCAAAGACAACCAGTAACTGATTTCCACATCACTGATGCCTATCTATTTCGAGGAAATCGCTTATGCATTCCCCGTAGCTCTTTGCCAGAGAAACTAATTCGAGATCTCCATGGTAGTGGCTTAAGTGGACATTTGGGCAGGGACAAGACTATCACAAGTATGCAAGAACGATATTTCTGGCCTCAGTTGAAGCGAGATGTTGGCAATTTTGTGAGGAAGTGCTACATTTGTCAAGTATCCAAAGGGCAGTCTCAAAATGCTGGCCTCTATATGCCGCTACCTGTTCCTAACAGCATATGGGAAGACTTGTCGATGGACTTTGTGTTAGGACTCCCTCGTACCGAACGTGGAGTTGATTCTGTGTTCGTAGTAGTTGACAGGTTTTCAAAGATGGCTCATTTTATTCCTTGTCAAAAAAGTTCAGACGCCTCTCATGTGGCTTGATTATTCTTTCGAGAAGTAGTTCGTTTGCATGGAGTCCCTCAATCCATTACCTCAGATCGTGATGTCAAGTTCCTTAGCCACTTCTGGGTGACTTTGTGGAAGATATTTAACACAGCCTTGAATCGTAGTTCAACCGTGCATCCTCAAACAGATGGTCAAACAGAGGTGACTAATAGGACTTTGGGCAATTTGGTTCGCAGCATTTATGGAGACAAATCAAAACAATGGGATCTTGCTTTGCCTCAAGCAGAATTTGCATATAATAGCGTAGTTCACAGTGCCACAGGAAAGTCACCATTCTCTCTGGTGTATGTCACGCCTCCAAAACATACAATTGATTTGCTCCGTTTGCCTCGGGGTCCAGGAGTGAGTACTACCGCCGAAACCATGGCCAAACAAGCCCAAACAATGCAAGAAGAAGTACGACAGAAGCTGGAGGAAACAAATACCAAATATAAGGCAGCTGCAGACAACCATCGGCGCTCCAAACTATTCAAGGAAGGAGATTCAGTAATGGTGTTTTTTCGCAAAGACAGATTTCCAGTTGGCACATACAAAAAATTGAAGCCTCGTAAGTATGGTCCATATAGGGTGTTAAAGAAAATCAATGACAATGCTTATGTGATTGAGCTACCAGACGACATGAAGATTTCCAAGACTTTTAATGTAGCTGATTTATATGAGTATCATGCTGAAGAACCCCTCTATCCAGAATCGAACTCGAGGTCGAGTTCTCTCCAAGAAGAAGGGACAACTGATGTAGGACAAGATTTTAAGACTTTTTGTATTTTTAGTTTTAATATTTTTGATAAATTATTTTCTTAGGAATCTTGTAATTTAGTATAAATAATTTAGAATTATTAGGTTTCTTAATTTTATTATTTTAGAATTAGATTTTGACTAGGATTTTATAACTATTTAAAATCCTAGTCAAAATCTAATTCTAAAATAATAAAATTAAGAAACCTAATAATTCTAAATTATTTATACTAAATTACAAGATTCCTAATAAAATAATTTATCAAAAATATCAAAACTAAAAATACAAAAAGTCTTAAAATCTTGTCCTACATCAGTCTCCTCTTCTTTGAAAGAACTCGCCCTCGAGTTCATATTAGAGATCTGCCATCTTCCATGCCAAATAAACAGATATTTCGAATTTTTCAGTTCCTTGCCCCTCTTCCAAAGTTATATATAGGAAAGTTTTCTTTCTGAAGGTTCTTCTCTATAAGCTTCAATTTGTGTAGAACTTGCATGCTCTCTTGATGTTGCACCATCTCAGATTCAATTGATCCTTCAACTATCAACCTTGGAATATCAAGTGTAGCATCAACCAATTTCTTTTTTGCACACAGCGGTTGTATTATCTCTTCTTCTGTTTTCTCTTTGTTACTGGGTCAATCAGATCTCTTTCTTCTTCAATCGTTTTTACGGTTCTCATATTTCTTAACCCGAAACT